CAGGGGTATGTATCCACAATGAGCCTGTGTTGGGATTTTAGCTGTTTTGCACTTGTGCCTTTAAAAGCTAATGAGCTGGTTCTCACTGCCCACTGCTCAGGCATATTTGCTTTAGAACAGAGTAAAAACGATTTTCATATCTTAAATAAACAGCACAATGATGGACAGCAACTCCAGACATTGATGAAGGAGAGGACACCAAAAATTCACAAAAACCATAATAATTAGTTCTAAATGCTATAATAAAACAGTGTACCGCTTTTTTTTCGGTAATCCTGCACAGATAGTTCTCATAGATCCATCTTTTAATCCCAGTTTCTTTGCAAATCCTGTCTTAAGTATATGATATCACATGTTAATAATGAAACATGATAATACGCACATGTCAATCAATATTGGTGGGTGGGGAGGACTACACTGCTACATCATGGTGTGGTCGGCCTCAGAATTGCTGGGTTTCAGCTCCTGTTTTAATTTTCTAGTAAAATTAAGAGTTAGTAAACGTAATGTGTTTATACCACTCTATTATGGCTGCGTGCGTACTATTTCCACACACATTTCTGTCCAAATAGCTACCAAAAGTTGATTTTGTAAGATGCGCTTAAACCCTTCCCATCTCAGAAAGTCTTTTTATGGTTGATGAATTTTCAAAGTGCTATGTAAAGCTTTTCTTTTCCAGTTGCATTCATTCACTTTTACTGTACTGGTGATTCTATTAGTGTGTGCTTTTCCCAGGACCTGCCTGGTTTTAAACTAAATGTGTACTTCCCTGTGAGATAAGCAGAATGCATGAGGAATTGTGTTCAAATGTAATTGTGACAGTGCAGAAGAACGGTTTCACTCTGTATTTATTTGAGCTTCACATCTACAGATAAGTCTTGTTATGCCGAGGAACATTCTATAGCTGCACGCTAGTACTGTCAGGAACTATTTTCTAGCTAAAGGATAACATTTAATAGGTTGATTTGAAAAGGTAACACAGATCAACTTGTACAGCTATCTTTATGGGGACTATGAATTTATTTTACCTGATATTTTGTGGATGTGTTTGCGTGTAGATTGCAATTAATGTATTTTGTTGTATCCTTAGGGAAACCAGTGACTTTAAAACAATGACGAGGGTTTTAGTGACCTGTTTTAATACCCTGCTTCAAATTGGTTATTGCTTCAGTAAACAAGATCCTGTTGTATTTATAAACAAACATGAATAGAAGCACATATATAAACAGGTTTATATTTTTTGAGGTTTGTGAACCGATGACGTTCATAGAGGAGCAGTGTTGCTGAAACAGGGTCAATGACCCGTGTCAGATGTTCAGATGTTGTCATCTGTCGCACAGTCAAGAGTAAAACATGCCGTGTGTTTGAAAGCTAATGCTGACCTCCGGCGGCTGTTCCTGGTAACTGTTCTCGAACATCCACGACTGCAAGGGACGTCATACGATTAAGTCAATACATCAATAAGTTTTAAATAAGCTATAAAGCTATCAATGCTCAGTGTGAGAGACGTGACACTGTAAATGACTGCTGACATCTCAAGTTAGATAAATAAATAACGTTATCACAGAGTTACAACAATAAAAACGCCTATATTTGTTTCAGAAATATTTTATGTAGGCCTTTATTTAATATATTAGTGCTTCTTCAGAAATATCCAGTGACCGCATGCTTTATTGTGTTGTTAATTAGTGTGGTATTTATTTGGTTAGCTGTATGCATTCAACGCATATGCACAACAGCCAAAATAATAAGACTTTTTTTTTAAAGAATTAAAAATTAATAATAATTCCTACAATTTTCCATATGATATTTTAGGAATGTTGGTTTGTGGACAAGCAAACAGTTTCAACGAGCTAACGAGACATTAAAATGCAAGTGTGTTTGTGGGAGAGCAGTTGAACCTCCGCAAATTGTGTGAAACACTTGTTAAACTGTTCTTAAGCAAAGGCGATTAGTTGAACTGATAAGTAAGCTCTTTATTGTGCTTAAATATAAGTGCCAGCTGTAAAGCTTAGGGGCCGTTAGCTTGTAACGGGTGTTTGAGATGAATTCACACCTGTGTGTGACTTTTTCTGCTTTCATCAGCAGGATTGTCGTCCACTTAAGTTATGGAGGCCTATCGTACAGTTTAGCTCTAGCCCGATAGGCGGCAATGTTAGGTATTTATCACTAAAATATGCCTTTGTTGTTTCTTCATGATATGAATTTAAGCTAGTACGTAAATATAATGTCAATTTGTCTAGCAATAAAGTGTGCACTGATGTTCTCTTTGTAACTGTTACTATGTTCGAGCAAGAGAGCAGAATGAGTGTCGGGCACGCGCGCGCGGAGCTCTCCATGGTGCTGAATTTATTCTTCAAATTCCGCCCTGTCACTGGACAGAGTCAAATATTGTTAATAATGATGTGTTTTTCTTGCATTGAATTATTTACCCTATATTCAACATATATCTCCTATATCTTGGAAATAAAAAGTAGGCTGCTTTCTCCATAAGTGTGTCAATTATTCCGATTTATCAGTAGTATTATATATGCTTTGTCTATTTAAGTATTTACGTTTCTTATATTTGGATTTTGGCTAGTGGATAATTTATAATTTTGTTCATTAATTATAATGATATTATTCTTTAGCTGAGTCCACTTAGCCTTTTTTGACAATATTTATTCGTTTATTTGTGCATTTAGGCATAAGCATTTACTTTTACATTTAATATTACATTTAATTTGAATACAACATAATAAAAATCACACATGCTCGACATGGACAATTGTTGGAATTGTCCTCTGTTCTTGTTTTTTTTTTTTTTTTTTTTGTGCATAGATAGACGGTCCCGTCACACAAGACTCAAATGGCGTGAGTTTGGGGCGGGATTACTGATGGCGGATGGCAGTAGCTATTTTAAAACTCCAGTTTCAAACTATTATTTTATTTTTACAATTTCGTACTGTGAGGTTATAGTGGCGCACTGACGTTTTCACACACATTGAACTTGAAGGAATAACACTTCTGAATTAGGTGAAATGGACCAATACAAAAACAAGAAACGTCTTTTTAAAAATTCCTATCCTTTCCAGGAACGTGGTTTCGTTCTCTATTTTATTTGTGGTCATGTTTTCCATGATTTTAAAGTGTCGGATTTTTTTCTGTAAAAATAACTGTCTATTTTTTTTAATTAATCGAGCTGCTTTTTAAACGGTGTAGGCCCTCATCTACGTAACCACAGTACAGCGTAGTCATTTAGCTAACAGTGTGACAAGATAAGAAACAGACAAACAACAAAAAGTGATCATACATTTATTTGTTGAACGTGCACCACAATGAGCCAAACAAAGCAACACATATCTTTCTTAGTTGAAAGATGCCTTACCTGTAAAAAACCTACACACACACAAACACACACACAAACACACGCACACACACACACACACACACACACACACACACACACACACACACACACACACACACACACACACACACACACATATATATATGTGTGTGTGTGTGTGTGTGTGTGTGTGTGTGTGCAATAACATTATTATGCAGAGTTGTGCAAACTAATTTTTACTATTTCATCAAGCATACCTTAGAATGAACAAGACAAGCTATGTAATCTTGTCGTCAAATAATTGGTAGGCCTAGCCCTGCGGCCATGTAAAATTTGGGTTGATTAATCTTTCACGTTTCACGTTTTACCCCGATTTAATTAGAAAGATTCAAAAGAATTTTGGTAAAATTTAACCTGAAAGATCTACCCATGCCTATAGCTCTTAATGATTAAAATGCACAAATACAATCGTAAGAATCTATGCCGATTGTCTGCCACTTCGTTATAACTAAATGCTGTAGACTACGAGCTGTCAAAATAATATGCATTAGTCCAGTTATTGTTAATCGGAGTAGAATAATCGCCCCATTTAAGATGTAACCACGAGTATTTTAGTGATTAACGATAATAGGTGATTTTGCTTTTCATATCTAGTTGGATAAACGAACTACGAACCCCTAAATATGAGAAAATGACGTTGACGTTTGATCGCTATTAGTAAAATAAAATAAAAAACAGAGAGTCTATTTTATAGCCTGTACGTATAAGTATATCACTGTATATCAGCTAATCATTCCAGGTGTTGCACAGTCAGGTGTGGGCTATGTTTTATTCCCCCCACGAGCTTCTGTTGAAGTCAAACGCGCCATTTTTGTTCATATCCTATTTACGCACCCAGAACATTCAAACATTTTCACAGAAAAATTAGTTGTTGAACATTATCAATAGATCCAATGACCAAACTATATTTTACACGGCCTGCTATTGCATTTATAAAAATACAGTGGTGCAGTCTAGTCTGTTTGTATAGCTTAGTCTCACCAGTTGATTATTCTTACGAATAAAAACACTTGGCTACATTAAACGTATTGAGCACTTTAAAACAGAAGTGAGTACAACGTTTGAAATGTTTGTAATTATCTGTACGGCATATTAGGCTACTCAGTTGTGAGATAAAGTCGAGACTGTGCCCGATAGGTGGCGCCCTTGTACAGCAACAGCTAGCTAAATTCGCGTCACTTGGCAGCTGAAAAAGGTCCGTATATGGATGAGAGCATATATAGCTAAATGCTTTACACTATACGGCAGGAAACCATGTGGGTTTTTTCGTCTGGTGAGTTTAACCAACCACGCAGTGACCTCCTAGTGATGATAACCAAGAAAGTGTTTGCTAAATAAAAAACCTCGAAAGTAAAGTCTGAAAATGTTACATTTTAAATCGAGCTTTAAAGTATGTGCAGGGTCCATTTCTATACGAAGGCGAAACCAGGCCTCAATAATTCACGTGAAAATTCTATCAACATCCCGGAAAATGAAAGCGCTTTTTCCCTTTACATGATTGTGCTCATTGTGAATCTGATATCAATTGGTTGCTTGTCGATATATCAAACGCCAGCTCATGATCCACAGCTGTGGTGCACTTGATTTCTATGCTAAGCAGCTAAGTGTTCTTGCGCAAACTCGTTGCTGGAGAGATTCTTCTCTTGGCATTCACCGCGTGCCTTAATTGTATGGACATTAAATCAAGGTCCGCTGTGAACACGCAGAGCGAGAACTCAAAAAGAACGCACGAGCAAAACCCCTCATTTCACACTCAAATTTCGCGCCTTGACTGGCACATGTAACCTAACCAAGAGCTTCCGAGAGAGGGGCATAACATTTGAACGCTTCAGTCGGTGCATCAGTAGAATCCTATTGCAGGAGCTATAAACAAATCCGCGACCTACTTAACACTTTTCCATCCACCACTTTAGTCTTCAGTGGCGTTGTCCATATCTGATACTGCAGTTTAAAGACAGATTAATGACGTGCACCATGTCTGAGCTTACACAATGGAAAAATAAGCTAATCGATATAGCACTTTTACTCTTGCGCTCAATACCATTTCCTTCGGGGTAAAAAAAAGAAATCAAAGAAAATAAATAAATAAATAAATAAATCGTCCACGGGTTTCTTCATTCAATCTTTATATAAGAGCTCTTTGTCCTTGATATAGTTGGAGGAACGAGCAATAGAAGCATCACGAGAGCATCACATTTCAAGAAAAAAAAAGGAAAGAAAACAAAACCTTTGCAGTACAAGAGCACTTATTAACGCACTATCCTGATGGAAGAACAGGAATGTTTCCACAGCTCAGATGCTGCGACTCCTCTTGTCTATGCAAATACGCCCTCCTTCGCGGCTTAACGCCGATGCACAATAGCGTTCCTCTTCTGTATCGCGAAGACACGTTAGCACAGCGAAGAAAAGCATCGAAATGAAATGTGTATTTCAGCGATAATTCCTATTTTCGAGCGCTCTTCGCGTTTTGGTTTCTGTCCAATGACTCTGCGGAAGCTATGGCGCTCGGAGTCTGTTCTTGAGGATGACTTGCTCTTTCCCTCCATTTAAAAGAATCTCCGCAGCATCCTTCTGTAAATTCATCCTCAGACGAGCAGGCACTGGGGCCAGTTCTTCCCGATCTATCCCTTTTAATCTCGGTCGTCCTCGGGCAGCGGCTTTTTGGTCCTGCCCTGAGTGTTTTTTCAGCCTCTCTGATCCAGTCTCGCGGATTAGAGGTCCTCTCTTCCCGTCCCAGACACGCGCAGCCTTCTGCTGATTGGGCTCAACGCAAGCGGATTACATTGGGACATAATGACGTCATGGCCCGGGCCCAAGTTCTCCCCCATTAGCCAAAGCCTCATCAGCGAGATGTCCTTGAAATAGCGCGCGCCTGACATTCTGCAAAAAGAAGCTGCATCCAGACGTGCATTATATAGACGGAAATAGTTTTATTGCGTTGACGCGTTCTGATGTGTTTGCGTCCATATTTAAACTGGACTCGTAATGTTTCACATGCACTTTACATACACTGTGTACTGTCCTAAATTGCATAAGTTGAATGCAGCACACGTGTATGAAGAAAAACATATTTTAGAGTAAAGATGGCGTGAAAATATTTATAATGTGCTGAGATTATTTTTTTGATAATGTAAAGCGGAAGAACTCGTTGTCATTCCAGAGAATTAGATCCTCCGATTTTTAGCACAACGCAAATTTGCTCCTGTTATGCAATGCAGAACAGCCCAATGATATATTTCGGTGTGGCATTTGCAGGTTTTAGTTTAGCTGGATATACAATTTTGAGAAAAGGCTATGTGATTGCAATTGTATTGATTCTTTGGCTAAAATTGTTCAGTTTTTCTAACAGGGTGTGCATATTCTAAAAATGTTTAGTTTTAACCTTAAGAACTGAGTATTGGGGTATTATTTTTCATAAATGTAGCCTACACTGACAAATCATGTTTTAGGTTGCACCCATAGACAGTAGGCTACTGCGCCTCCATTGGTGCAAACCTGTTTCACTTATGCAGATGTTTAGACGTCTTCGTTTTAACATGCATATGAATTAATAATTTACATTGATTTTTAACATCTGCCAGTTGTTCTGATTTTTTTAACGATTCCAATAATTTAATCTCTTGCTTTAAACAGTATGTGGTTGTTATATTTGTATTCTTATAATCACATTCAAAAAGTTGCCCTTGTTCTTTAACCAAGCACGTGATATTGAATACCCCGTTGTTAGAAACGTATTTTACCTATCGCCTTTAATAGACACGCTACTGATATCACTTGTGTGGCTTTTGATCAAAATTCTATTCATTTTCTCCTCTTCTCTAAACTGAACTGAATACAGCATTAACTGATGACGCTTGGTGTGTTTTTGTTATATAGCTCAGTTTCTTTTCTCAATAACCAATTTTCCAATCGAATGTATGAGATAAATGAATCAAAAAGTGTATTTTTTTCGACACGCACGATTAATGATGTTTACTGAACTGTTTTGACAAGCGTCTGACCTCGATGATATTGACGTTAAATTATGGGTTTTAATGTATTTGATTAGCTTGCTTAAATAAAATAATTCTTGAATGTTTGTTAAGTTCCTACAGCACGCTTATAAGATTTAAATGTTTATCTTGACCGTTGTTGTCATGGCTGGATTTTAGTAGGGTCTTCTCCAGACGTCCCCTGTGGATAGAAACAAAGGCTATTGAGAAGAACAGTCCTATATTTTAAAGGTATATCCGTTTTTATTTATTTATTTTTTGTGATCAAACGATTCTTCTTTCTTGCTAAAACAATTGTCTCTCCTTTTTTTCGTTTTAGCCTACCTCTTTTTTCGATCGTGTTTGCCGTCCATATTTAAATAAAGCTAGCATTTTTAGGGCTAAAATTTATTTGATAAGCATCATGTCTCTTTAGGCCTTTATCACGCTTAAATCGAAACGAGACTCGAGATTCCAACACAGAAACGCGGTCCGGTCTGGATGATAGCTTCAAATGCATGGCGTGTTTTCTTCAATCGAAGAATTTGGGCAGATTTTGAACGCATATTCGCCTCGTTTCTTGTTCAGTGGTTTTAGATCTCTTGCCACACAAATCCCAGCTCTGACAGAAAGCCCTCAGAGGATTTTATCAGTTGGGAAAACACCTTCCTGAATCCGAAGGATAACGACGGCCACTTGTCCATAGCAAGAGAAGCTGAGAACAGGACGGCGGAGAAAAGGACAGAAATGAACGCTGAACGCCGTCAGTTTGCTATTTCTCCCGACTCAGTTGAGCGGCCTCCTCGTCTTAAACTGCGTGAAGGAGGAGCTGTTCAGTTGCATTACAATGACATTCAGTCCCAATTCATTCACGCGCTGTCTAACGGTCTTTGGATAGCAAATCCAGCCCATCGGGGGGTCGCAGCCCTCTCATTACGCCCCCAATCCCAACACACACTCACTACAATAGACCCAACAAAGGGCGAGGGGAGCGGGCCTCAGCGCGGCGCGGCCCGGGCGCTGAACTCTGGGCTCCAGCGGGAAAAATGCACTTCAGTGTTGGTGTTACGAACAACGTGTTAAAGTGTTTTGTTATTTAGGAGGGTCCGTTCTCAAACGAACTGGGGGAAAAAGAGACGTCACACGCGTTAATTTTATAAAGGGCGTTAAAGGTGAACGGATGACTTTGCTAGGCGGCTATAGTTACGCGTTGTGTTGGTACACGTGTATGTGACGTATACTGCATGGCCTATATGGACGGGGTTAAAGCATCCATCAATGTGTGTACAGAAGTGATTTTACTGATTTCGACTCATTGTTCCTTACTGTAATGTAGTGATGGGTTTTGCACATTGGAGCATAAGAATGCGCGTGAATAGAAGTGTCACAGCAAACTCGACTCCCAGGGTTCAAGGCTAGGTGACAAAATATCCCCATGCATTTAGATTTTTCTGGAAAGCCCTAAATACAGTTCAGAATACGACTAAAATTACTTGATAAATCAAAGACACATTTAACTAATTCACATACACATTATATAATACACAATATTTTAAATCAATCAAATAATTGAAGAAGAGAGAAGTATTACTTATATCCGTCAACAAGCTGGGCAAAATTGTTTTTGTGTGTTGTATTTATCAAAATGGGAAGCACATTCTGATAAAATATTGATAAATGGAAAATGCTATTTTTTATTCAAGCTCTAAATGCAAAGAGTTTAAATTTTATGATTACCCCGCTTTATTGTAGCCTATAAACATTGTAAGGCAGTATAGGATATGGTATTCTTATGGTCGCAAATGTTACTGACCCAAATGATTTGGTATCTCTGAAGTACCATATTATTAAAGGCTATATGCATGATTAAAATTATAACTAAATATGTAACATTTTTATTTTAAAAATTCACATCCCATGACCGCTTTCATAGCAAGTTAGCACGATTAACCCATGCATGGCTGGAAACTATCGGCGATAATCTACTAAAAATAAAAAATAAAAAATTATTAATAATTTTGTTTGTTTATTTGTAATTTTTAAACGTAATACAAATAAAGCATTTTTAACCTTATTTATATATGTTGTTGCACTGCTTACAAGGTAATATTAAGTCATAATAATTAGGAAACCCAAAGACGCGGAATTGATGGGTAAAACAAGATTTTATTTTTGATTACTCATTAACTTTAAATGATTTTTTGTTTTTGTATTTTTGCTCTCGTAGAAAAGCAGCCCAACATCTAACAACAAACACCTTAAGACCAGTAATACTGGTAGCGTATTTCTGATTTTAACACTATCTATATCAAAATATTAATAGCTACACTAATATATGAAATAAAAATATGTAGGCTACTTAGAATTATAATTAGAAGGATTGCCTTATGCAAATACATGCATAGTGTCGTTTTGTATAGCATAGAATTTCTAGAGAACATTTCCAGATTTTCCCAGGGAAATCATACCGATTTTCGAATTGACGTTGAAGGTTTAGACAGGCCCAGCTGGACGCTTTACTTATGCGGCTATTCAAGCAGAGGACGGAAAGGTCATCTCTACGGCCCGGTGCGCCCGGGAAACGCGCTAAACATGGCGCCTGTATTGCCGCTCAATTATTCAATAAACACGCACATTCGCTCCTATGTGCTGTCCAGTGCTTTAGGCGTGTGTGAAAGAGATGCACGTTTATAAGTGAATTTTCAGGTGTCTGTTTTTTAGTGTAATGTGAAGTTACACTTGAAGACATTGGCTACATTTAAATATCAAG